CCAATTCTGACTGACTCCGCCCCCATCTATTCTCCACCTACTGAGTCCCAGATGATCGGCTGGCTCTTCTTTGGTTGTCCTGCACAGGAGAACGGGGCTGGAAAGCAGGTTAGCAGGGTGGGGAGGGAAAGGGGTTTAACAGATAACAGATAATCAGAGGCAACTTCTGTTCCATTGGTTGATTGCTCTCACTGTCAGAAAATTTCTCCTTATTTTCAGATTAAATCTCTCGTTCAGTTTCCATCCGTTATTCCTTGTCTGGCCTTACAGACACTTTAGAAAATAGCTTCCTCATATCTAGGGCAACCTCTGAGATATTGGAAGACTGCTATCATGTCTCCCTGGTCCTTCTCTTCACTAGACTAGCCAGGCCAAGTTCCTGCAACCGTTCTTCATGTATTAGCCTCCAGGTCCCTCATCATCCTGGTTGCTCTTCTCTGTACTTTTTCTAGAGTCTCAACATCTTTTTTATAGTGTGGTGACCAAAACTAGATGCAGTATTCTAGGTGTGGCCTTACTAAGCAGTAACCTTCCCCTGGAGTGGGGAGGGAATGGAGATTTTACAGTATCCTTCCCCTGCCACACCCACCCAGCCATGCCCACAGAACTGGTAGTAAAGAAATTTGAATCCCACCACTAAATAGGAGGGTTGGAGTCAACCTCACATTGGGAAGCAAGATATTTCAGAGGGCAAGACCAAGTGCAGAGAAGATCCTCTTCTTGGACTCTGCCAGCTGGAGGAATCGGGCTGACGGGACCCATAGCATGTCTTCTCCATGGCCAAAGCTGGGACAGGCCAGTCCCAGTGGGATGAGACAGTCCCTCAAGTAATCTGGACCCAGGCCATGAAGGGCTTTTAAGGTGATCACCAACACCTTAAGACTATATTTGGTGTTGTCAGAACTCCAAAGACCATTCTCTGGACCAAATGGAGCACAAGATCATTTCCCATTGAGTTCTAAGCATACATCTAGGATAACTCAGAACTGAAGATGGGAAGACTGAATTGGACTGTGGAAAGATTTTTTTCAGGAGACTTCTTTGGAATTGAAGGGTGGCATGGAATTGGAGAGACAACCCAATCTCAGAACGTTGAGCAAGAGATCTCCCAGCCATCTTCTACTACCCATCTCGCAATCTGTTGGCCACAAAGCTGAGGAAGAGCTAGATCCCTCTGCTCTATATCTCAACAGGCAAATGGATGTGAAAAACTCAGAGGAGTGTTTCCAGCAATGTCCTTCAAGCTTATTTGGGATCCTGACAACTTCCTAAACGCACTCACTGCATTCTCAGCAACCACAGATATACATGGTTTCTTGTTGCTTCTTTCCTGAATGTTCAACTTCTCAGGCTACTAAATAAGAGGAGGAAGGTGTGTCCCATATATTCACCGCCTTGAATTATTTGTAAAACTAATAATATAAATAACATAAAAAATAAATAAACGAAACACCGGGATTTCCTGATAATCTCCCAATCAAATTCTAACCAGACGTGACTCTTGGGGGAGATACTACCATCTTGCTGGTTGAAGGAGGCACTGGGGTCACAGTTGTCTCTTTGGCTCTGGGTCTAAGGCAGTGCTTTTCAAACTTGGCAATTTTAGGATGGGTGGACTTCAACTCCCAGAGTTCCCCAGATGGAATTGTGGCAACTTTAAGATTCTCTTCAATCCTTAGCCAGTTTGAGAGAATTCTGGGAGTTGAAGTCTTAAAGTTGCTAAGTTTTAAAAACACTGGATTGGGGCCTCAGCAAGACTTGCCAGGATGTGAAGGGACAATTAATTCCAAACTGGATTGTGAAAACATCTGCTGCAAGAAGGGGAAAAAATTGCTCCATTTCAGGGCATGGAGGGGAAAAATGGACAGGTTAACAGAACCCAGAACAAATTCCCACAATCTCTCTATATTGCATGGTAATTTCAAAACCAGGGGTCTCCAACCTTGGCAACTTTAAGACCTGTGGACTTCAACTCCCAGAATTCACACCAACGTGCAGAATTCCGCAGCAACCTGATCTGGAGCGGATTAGAGATTCACGCATCGGATCCGAAGTTATGCCTACAATTTTAAAACCCCGTACCATAATATTTGGATTCATCTTCCAAGGTGCCACAAGAGACCCCGTTGCTGGATCGCCTCTGAACATACGTTTCAGTAATATTTTTTTATTTTCCTCATCAAGCAAGTGAACAAAAGCTGTTTTTTTTTTGAAACAAACAAACAAAAAGTAAATCAACTGGCCATAAAAGACAAAAAAAAAAAATTCTTCCGCATTTATTAGACGTTTATTAGACTTATTCAAAGGTTACCAAGGCTCTGCAAAAACTTTTTCAGTTTTTTTTTTCCACCTCATCCATCGTGACATTCTTAATAGAAGAAAAAGTGGAGAAAAGCAAAGCAAATTGAGGGGTGTGTGCCTAGAACACGGGTCACCAACCTTTCGGACCTCAGGGACCACTAAATTCATAATTTTAAATCCCATGGACCACTAATATGAATTTTAAAAATGACAAATAGTATTTAGTGCAATATTATTTTTGTTAGTTGCGAAGTCGTGTACGACCCATCGCAACCCCCAATGGATAACTGTTCCTCCAGGCCTTCCTGTCCAATACCATCCTCTGGAGTCCATTTAAGCTCATTAGTGCAATATAAAAAATGCACATAATTTTTCTGCAGACCACCAACATTTTCTCATGGACCACCACAGACCACTGGTTGGTGACCCCTGGTCTAGAGTCCCAGGGGTCTCCAACCTTGTCAACTTTAAGCTTGGAGGACTTCAACTCCCAGAATTCCTGAGCTAACATGACTGGAGGAGGAATTCTGGGAGTTGAAGTCCATAAGCCTTAAAGCTGTCAAGTTTGAAGACCCCTGAACTAACTTTTGGTAATAGATAACCCAAGGTTTACTTTGATGATCTCTATAGGGGAAGGAGACTTCCCATTGGAACCTCAAGGGATCTTCATCTCACTTGTGCTTATTTCTCTCAGTCCAGTTCTTCTGTCTTGATCTCTGTTTGCTGTTGAGGAACTTTCCATTCCCAAACATTTGTGCTTGGAATATGAATGTATGTACCAAATATGAATGTATGTACCAAAAAAAAAAGAAAAGGCATAACTTTCTCACATCTTTGATAGCTTTATCGGTCAAGTGGTGCTCCTGTAGTTTTACCTCACAAATAGAGAGGCAGGGTTCGCCTGACAGAGAATGGGCTGGCTCAGTGTGGATTTGAACCTGATTTCCCAGGGGTCTCCAACCTTGACAACTTTAAGACTTGTGGACTTCAACTCCCAGAATTCCCCAGCCAGCCAAGGTTGAAGACCCCTGTCCTTGATCAAGGGTCTTCAAACTTGTCAACTTTAAGCCCGGAGGACTTCAACTCCCAGAATTCCTGAGCTAAAATGACTGGAGGAGGAATTCTGGGAGTTGAAGTCCACAAGCCTTAAAACTGTTAAGTGTGAAGACTCTTGTCCTAGACTCACATTTTAGCTGTTATATTGGTTTACAGATGAGTAGGAAGAAAAGAGATAGTATCCATTTAGTTGTCTCTGACTCTTGGCGATACTGTGGATCAGGTCTCCAAACTTGGGTAGCTGGCTGGGGAATTCTGGGAGTTGAAGTCCTCCAGGCTTAAAATTGCCACGGTTGGAAATCCTTGGACTCTAGAAACGACCAGCGAAACCCACTCACCCCCTTCGGGGATTTCTACTTTTAATACGCGTCTCTTCGGGTTCCCCCTCCCCTCTCTCCTAGGGACTTTTCTTCCTTCAATCTTTCCGAGTCCGACGGCTTCCCTCCCCCTCCCCCTCCGCCTTCTCAGGAATTGCAAGGAAGGGAGGGTGGGGGGGGGAAGCTTTCAGAAACTCGACGCCGTCTTCGCGCAAGACAGCCTCTTTTTTTTTTTTTTAATCAAAAAGCGACAGGGTGTCTAGACGCCCACGTGACCAGCGCGAGGGGGAGGGAGGGGGAGGAGGAGGCGGGGCCGGGGAGCGCCGCTGCACAGTCTGCGAGCGAGCCCGGCAGGCAGGCGGGTGGACAGACGGACGGGCGGGGAGGGGTAGGCGCGGCCCGGGCTGGCTCTCAGGAAAAGAGGCCGAGGTTGGCTGGAGGGAGTGGGGGGGAGGGCGGCTGGGTGCGGAGCCAGACAAGCAAGAGAGGCAAATCGTCCGCGTCCCTCCCTCCCCCCGTGCGCCCTTTTGTCCCCTCACCTTGCAATTCCCAAAACTCGCCTGAGCAACCCCCCCCACTCTGCCCCACTTAATGGTTTCTTCCCCCTGCCGCCTCCCCCCCACTTGCAAGAAAGACCAGGGGCTGCTCCATTGCAAGCATCGCCCACCACTCAAATCCTGAGGGGATTTTATTTTTATTTTATTTTTTTAAAAAAGGAAGGGGGGAGAGAGAAAGAGAAGTTAAAAGAGACCCGGTGGTCGTGCAAAGCACCTTGGTGGGGAGGGGGAGGAAGGCGAGCCAGAAAGTCAGGAGTGGGGAAAGGGGGGGGAGGGCGGAGGAGGGAAAGAAAAAGGGCCAGGCGAAAGGAGAGAGAGAGGGGGGGGGGTTTTCCTTCCCTCCCTTCTTTCCCCCCTCTCGACGCCCGCAATCCTTCCTCTTCCATTCCGCCGGGCGGGAGCGCGCGCCTCCCTCTCCTCCTCCTCTGCCCCCCCCCCGCCCCGTCTGCACAAACTGGACGGAGGAGGAGGCGGGCGAGCGAGCTAAGCCGAGAGCCGGCGCTGGGCTGGGAAGGAAGGAAGGAAGGAGAAGGAGCTGAGCCCGGGCACTGCAGCGCTGCCTAAGGGCTGCCCAAGACCCTAGTTGGTCCGTCCCCGGCCCGGGTCCTTTGGACGCCCCGCTCCGCCTTCCCCTCCTCCTCCTCCTCCTCCTCCTCCTCTTGCTGCTGCTGCTGCTGCTGCTGCTGCTTCTGGGGCTGCCGGCGGTGAGACGCGCGGAGGGGCGGAGAGAGCGAGAGAACTGCAAGAGGAGAAGGAGGAGGAGGAGATCGCCGCGCTTCCAGCCTCTCCTCTCCTCGCCTCTCTCTCTCTCTCTCTCTCTCCCTCTCAGTCTACGGGCGAGGAAACAAAACAAGCCGCGGCTCCGTCCGGCGGGTCGGGAGGGAGATCAAAGCGGCCGGGCGAAGGAGTCCCGAGGGAGCCGGCGACTTCCGAGGGCCGAAGAAGAAGAAGAGGAGGAGGAGGAAGAAGAGGAAGGGGCACGCGCGCCCACCCCCGCCTTCCTCGGAGGAGGAGGAGAGACCCCGACGGGCTGCAAAGGCGGCGGGGGCTCCGGCCGGAGACGCTTCACAAGCCTGGCCGTTGGATAACCGGGCGCTAAGGGGCTCTGTCTTTTTTGGGGGTGGGGGGTGTGAAACAGGTAGATTTGGCCTCGATCTCCAAGATCTCGGACCTCTCGGACTTCTTTTTTTCTTTTGCTTGGGTGTTTTCTTTTTTTTCTTCCTCCCCCCCCCGCCGATCCGGGTTTTTGGATCTCCCTGGATCGCCGCCGAGGATCTAACTAAGCCTCGCTTGAGGAGGAGGAGGAGGAGGAGGGGGGTTACCGGGAAGGATCCCGGAGGAAAAGCCCCGCCGGGCGGCGAATCGGACCCTCCTTCTCCGCTTCGGTTTTTGGCGACCACCCCACCCCCGGAGCAGAGGCGTCCGCCGGGTTTGGCATGCCCGTTTTCCCCGGGCGGGCGGATCGCGGGCTTCCCCGCCGCCGCCGCTGCTGCGTTTGGGGGTCTGCTGCTGCTCCCGCTCCCCCCTTTCCATAACCTGGAAGCCCTCCGAGGAGGCGGCTTGGAGGAAGGGAAGGGGAGCCTGGGCCGGCGCAGCCTTCCCAGCCGAGCCTGGGCTTAAAGAGAGACCGGCGCATGCTGCACTTCGCTTTGGGTCTCGCTCCAGCAGCAGCCGCCGCCGCGCCGTCGTCTCCTTCTCCGGAGCCCCCCGGTTCCCTCTTCCTCCCGACCATTTCAGGCTCCTTCTCCTGGCTGCCTGGACTCGGGTCCCGACTCCTTCATGACTTGCGGACGACATGCCCGTTTTTTAGCCGGGGAACCTTCTTCTCGTCCCGCATGTTCAGGACCAAACGATCGGTGCTCGTCCGAAGACTCTGGCGGAGCCGGGCGCCCGGCGGGGAGGAAAACGCCGGCGAGGTCGCCGAAGGCGCTGCGGACGGACGGCCTCATGGGGCCGGCGGCGGCGGAGGAGGAGGAGGCGGGAGCCGGATTTGCTGCCTGGGCAAGCCGGCGGGGAAAGCGGCCAAGGCGCACGGCGGATCGGAGGCTGAACTGAAAGCCCTGGCCCACTTGGTGCTGAAGCGGCTGAAGGAGAAGCACCTGGAGGTCCTGCTCCAAGCCGTCGAATCCCGTGGGGGCACCCGGACCTCGTGCCTCCTGCTGCCCACCAAGGTGGACTCCAAACTGGGCCAGCATTGGTACTCTCTCCCGCTGCTCCTCTGCAAAATCTTCCGATGGCCCGATCTCCGGCCTGGCTCGGAAGTCAAGCGGCTTTGTGGCTGTGAATCTTACGGGAAAACTCACCTGGACTTAGCCTGCTGCAACCCTTATCACCTGAGCAGACTCTGCGAGCTAGGTACGTGCGGAGCAGCGAAAAAAAAAAAAAAGAAGAAGCCGGACTTGCATCGGGCCGGCTTCCCGCCTCCTCCCCCTTTCCTAACCCCTGCCTCTCCCCCCCCCCCCCCCCCCAAAAGCCCCCAGTTTTGCAAAACAAGGCTTCCCCCCCCTTGGGGGTTTTTTGGGGGGGGCGGGGGGGGGCGCACGCTGCTTTGATTGGAAACTTCCTCTGGGTCCCTCTTGGTTGAGATATGGGGATCTAACCTTAGGGAATTCAGGTGAACCGGCCTGAGATGCGAGGGGATCCTATCCTTTAATCTCTTGCACCTGCATCACTTTAGAAGGAGAATAGGTTAGGGAGATCCAGTTTGGGATGTGAGTATTGTGCCAGCCAGATCCTCTGTGTGTGTGTGTGTGTGTGTGTGTGTCTGCGTTCCCCATCACCTCTCTGGAGGGGAAGGGAAGTAGAAAATTAAACCTATCTCCCCAAAGAGGCTTTTAATGTCGTTTTTTTTTTAAAAAAAAAAAATATTCCCAGTGGAATTTTGCAAAGGGGGACAGGCTTGACTTTTAGGTCCCTTCTGAACATTTGCATTTGGATCCTTTTGTGGGTGCATTAAACAAAAAAACAAAAAAAAGACCCAATTGCCTTTTGGAAAAGCAGTTTTGGGACAACCATGACCCTAGATGTGTGTGCGTGCGCGTGTGCGTGCTCATTTAAAGTTCCTGGGTAGGAGGAGGGGAGGAATGGATGAAGACTGCAACTTTTACCTGTTAGGGTTCTTTTCAGGGAAGAAATGTTTCCGAATGTTGACAGTAAAATATTTTTAAAAGGGGTGGTGCAACCAGGGGCAGGCAGGCAACTGCAGTGTTTTGTGCAAAAAAAAAGCCCAGGGTGTATGTAATTTAAAAATAAAATTAAATCTGAAGGCTTTTTGCAAAAAAAAAAAAAATCCCTTCCAGCATTTTCTAGTTTTAATACACAAATCTTGCCATTTTAGCAAAAGCCTTCCAACCCCTTGGCTGGCTGGCTGGCTGGCTCCTTGCATCTTCAGTGCCCTCCCGCCTCTTGGGCCTCTCTTGCCTCAAAACTATAAAAGCTAACACATAATTTCCAGGCCTTCAATCTTGTTTGCTTTTCTCCTCTTTGCCAAGTGTGCCTTTAAGTTTTCCACCATTGGCTAAAATAAAATAAAATTTTAAAAAAAGGGGGGGGGGTGTTTGCGTGGGATAGAGAGAAGAAAGACAATCTCCCCACAGCACGATTGAAATTGCAAAGGGTCTTCTGTTTTTTTCCCCCCTTCCCTTTTTTTTTTAAAGGGGGGGTGGGATTAAGTTCATGATCTGTAAAGGAGAGGCTTGCTTTGGTAGGTTTAAACCCCATTAGTGGGCAGCCTTGCCTCTTCCCCCCCCCCCAAACCCCCATCACCACCAAACTAAAGCCTTTAGCCCACCCTCTCTTCCTTCCTTCCCCCTTTTGCAAAGGTTTTTTTTTGGGGGGTGGGGGTAGGCAGGGAGAACAATGCATCTGTATTGGGTGCCTCCCCCGTTATTTCTCCCCCTCCTGCCCTGCCCTGCCCTCCCCATTTTTTTTTTTTTGGGGGTGGGTTAAATTGCATTTGCAAGTGAGCTGGTTGGGATTATCGGGAGCGCTGGATCAATGGGCGATTTCCAGGACTGGAGCGCTTGGGTACAGCCAGAAAAAGCCCCTGCCGAGACAGCTACGGGAGCAGAGATAGCGCAAGAGCTGGCGCCAGTGAGGCCCCTTTGTTTATCTGGCGGTTAAATATCAAGGCAGTTACCGCCAAGTTGCCCTGCCTCCAAGCGCCAGGCTAAGACAAACAGTTTTGTTACAAGAATGCCTCTCTTATCATAAGTTCCTATCTCTCCCCCCTCCCTCCCTTCTCATGGCTCTGTTTTTATTTTCTCTGTACTTTTCTATTGCAGAGTCTCCCCCTCCTCCTTACTCCAGATACCCAATGGATTTTTTCAAACCAACAGGTAAGTAGAATGGATTTTTTAAACTAAGTAAAACTTAAATGTTGAGTGGGAAGTTTTTCTTTATTCATTTCTTTCTTTCTTTCTTTCTTTCTTTCTTTCTTTCTTTCTTTCTTT